GTAGTTTTTAAGATCTAAAATTGATTTAAAAGATTAAAGAAAAAATATTTTTAAATTTGTTCCCAAAAATATCATGTTTATATTGATGCATCTTTCTAGTTCAACTCCATTCCGGTTGGCTCAAAAAATTTAACATATATGATACTATTATCATCTGCCCAGAGGTTTAAGTGTTTCCCAACAAAATCATATTAACCTAATTTAAAAATAATGGATACGAGTAATGTGATAATTTCAAAATATATATATATTAAAATAATTTCAAAAGGGAGTTGAGAATTAGATAAAAAATTAAAAATGATAATTGTCACTTATCTATGGTAGATCTCCATTGAAATTTTAGTTTAACAGGTTTACAATATATATTTTACCCATTTGCTTTAAAAAATTTTACAAAATTTTAAAAATAACGATTATGACAATTGTCACATATCTATGGTACATCTTCACTGAATTTTAAATTAAACGTATTTACAGCCTATATTTATAATTTTTTGCGTCAAAAAATTTCAAAAAACTTTAAAAATAACGATTATGACAATTGTCACTTATCTAGGGGAAATCTTCGCTGTAATTTTAATTTAACATATTAACAATCTATATTTTTACCTATTTGCGTCAAAAAAATTCAAAAAACTTTAGAAATAACGATTATGACAATTGTCTCTTTTCTATGGTATATCTTCACTGAAATTTTAATTTAACATGTTTACAATATATATTTTACCCATTTGCTTTAAAAAATTTCACAAAATTTTAAAAATAACGATTTTTACAATTGTCACATATCTATGGTACATCTTCACTGAATTTTAAATTAAACGTATTATTTACAGCCTATATTTTTACTTATTTGCGTCAAGAAATTTCAAAAAACTTTAAAAATAACGATTATGACAATTGTCACTTATCTAGGGGAAATCTTCGCTGAAATTTTAATTTAACATATTTACAATCTATATTTTTACCTATTTGCGTCAAAAAAATTCAAAAAACTTTAGAAATAACGATTATGACAATTGTCTCTTTTCTATGATATATCTTCACTGAAATTTTAATTTAACATGTTTACAATATATATTTTACCCATTTGCTTTAAAAAATTTCACAAAATTTTAAAAATAACGATTTTGACAATTGTCACATATCTATGGTACATTTTCACTGTATTTTAAATTAAACGTATTATTTACAGCCTATATTTTTACTTATTTGCATCAAAAAATTTCAAAACTTTAAAAATAACGATTATGACAATTGTCACTTATCTAGGGAAAATATTAACTGAAATTTTAATTTAACATATTTACAATCTATATTTTTACCCATTATAGCGTCAAAAATAAACTAATATGTTTTAAAATACAGATTATGATATTTGTCATTTTTACAAAGGAACATCATCATTGAATTTATAGTTTAACATATTTATAATATAAATTATATTTTTACCCTTAGTACCAAAAATTTCAAAAATGTTAAAAAATAACATGACATTTGTCACATTAATATATTATAAATAACATAAAAATTTAATACAAATATTTATAAATTATTTAAACTAGTTCTTTTAATATATTAAAAAAATAGATAATTTTACAAAAATGATAAAAATAAACCTATTTCAACTAAAAGATTTAACAAAAATATTAATTAAAAAAGAAGATTTTAAATTCTTATCAATTCAAATTTTGCTTCAAATTTTGCATGAAAACCACAAATTAATTTTAACAAAATATTATACAATACCTATTCGAAATATTCGTCCTCTAGTCGACTTAAGTTCTCGACTCAAATGGAAAACTCATGTTCTCGACTCAAATCGACTTGAGTGCATGACTCGAGTTGACTGGCGTTCACGACCTGAGTCGACTTGAGTTCACGACTTGAGTCGACTTGAGTTCACGACTTGAGTCGACTTGAGTTCACGACTCAAGTTCACGACTCGAGTTCACAACTAACCACTTCAGACTCTGAGTCGGAGTCGGATGAACTCGACTTTTTAACAACACTAATTTAATTATTAAATATATAACAATTTTTTTTAATGCATTTTAAATTAATTAAATTTTGTAGATAAATACTGTAATATAATTTTACTTATATCATAAATAAATAAAAGTAACTAATAAAGTTAAATTCTACCTTATTATAATTATTTTATTAAGAGCCTTTTAAAATTATCTAATGTTATATATCAATTGTAGCTTAAATATTTCCTCTAATAAGAACTTGCTAAAATAATTAAATATAAAATATATTTAAGATGTGCCGATATTTTTTATCGAACCGATATTTCACCCATTTCAAAATATCAATTATCGGTCAATATTATAAAATTTGATCCGATATAAAAATGGCTTCTTTAACAAAAATAAAATGTTATAAAGTTTAAAAAAATAGTTATATCTAAAATCATTTATTTTTATAAATAAAATCGAAATCCATTTTTATGTATATTTTTTTAATAATAATATTTAATTAATAAACATTCTACCATATTGTTATTTTTTTGCGCATTCTGTTTATAAAAGTATGCGATAATCTCTTCAGAATCTGTTTTTAGTGAGCTGGTGATATTGGCAGTTAATATCGCCGCAAGCTGACCTCTGATAAATTGGAAATATTGGTATTACTAAAAAGAAATCTTCGCTATATTAATGTTAAATATTATTTTAAATATTTATTTCAAATTTCATAATATAATTGTTTATTAATTAATATGTATATAGATTAATGTTATTACTTGTTATATAAAAGTGATTTAACAATAAAAATATTTTATATACTTTTAGAATTACAATTGAATTGAATATAAACTATAACTGATCATTATAATATATTTAAATGACATAAGTTATGGTATAGTTAAATTATAGTTGTTATACTAATAAAAAGTATATTAAAAATTAAAACCATTAGTATCTTTACAGAATACAAAATTAGATATGATATCGGATCGGTAATCGGGATATCAATTGAATATAGGATCGGATTGACCTCTAAAAGGTGGTATCGGTACACCTCTAAAAATTATATATCCAAAATGATTTTAATTTGATAATCAACCATCTTCTATAAAAAAATTTAATAACAATTATCTAAGAGGGACTTAAGTATAGGTATTATTATGTTAATAATTATAAAATAAAAATGTATAATATACTTTAATATGTTTAACAAAGTTTGTAGAGGAGTTTGTTCAACCTTTAATAACTTTTTTACTTGTGCAATTTTGACATTCGGCTTGTACCTTGTCCTTTTTCACATAAATTACTTTATAAAATTTTCCATCTAGAATTTTAAGATTCGGATTTGATTCAGGAGAACATATCTCCATAATTTCATCTTCACTACTATAAATGTTAAACATTCTACAAACTAAAAAATATTACATATAAAATATAACCTTTACTTATTTAGTTTTGGTGTTGTTATTTTTAAACTATCTATCTTTGTGATCTGTAAAATTTCCAACTAATTTTGGTTATCAATATATTTAAATAGCAGAAAATAATACAAGATTTCACGAAGAAAATAAAGTTATATTGTGTGATATGTAAATGTTTTAAATATTAATATTAAAAAGAATCTGTATCTGTATCTTTTTAAAGAAAATGAAAAAGATACAAGATTCTTTTCAAAATAAAGGATCTTAGATACAGATACTAGTATCTTATTAAAAATGTCAATAAGATACTGAGTACAAGATACAAAAGGATCTTGTATCTTGTATCTTAGATACATGTATTCGCGGTACTGCCCAACTCTGGGTGTTCCTATGATTTTTTATTGAACATTTAAATTACTCTTTTAATTAATATATAATTATTTTTTAATTCCTTATTTTTTGAACTTTAACCTTAATTTTTACAAACTTTAAACATTTAGTAATAAATTTTTATTTAAATCATGCTAATCAACATAAAAAATTACTAATAATATATTAAAATTTATTTAATAAAATTTTATTAATATTTTGGCGTTGAAACGTAAAATTGATGAAACTTTAAATAAATCAGTGGCTTCGCTAAGGGTAGCGCAGGGGCTCGAGCCTTCTAAAAAATTTGAATAGCCCCCTGAAGCAAAAAATTTTTTTTAATGGCTCTTTAATATCCCCTTGAACTAAAAATAAATTTTTTTGATTGCCCACTAAATGATTTCTTTTATAATTCTATATTGAGTAATATATAGATTTAATTTTATAATTTAAAAATTAATAAGTCTATCTAAATTATTCTTAAATGAATACAATTTTAATTATTAGATTAGATTAATACTTATAAATTATATTTTCACTATGTCAGCTTGCAATCAAATTCTGTGTTAAAAATATAATATTAATATCACTTACTAAATATTAATTTAGCATTAACAGTTGAAGCTTTATTGACTTTTATTATTTAAATTATTATATAACCCTAATTAAATAAATATTAATTGAAAATTAACAAATTTAATATTGTAATTAACCGAGTTCAAAATCACTAATCAACTATATTATTTATATTTACGTGATACGTGATATATAGCGCATTCGCCCTCTAACGTTGAATATACAACAGAGCAACGCTAGGTTTTCCTCATTTCCATCTAATTGGAATTTATTAATTTAAGGGGGGAAAAAATATGAGGAGCCCTCCACACGTTTGTGGGCAAGCCGCACGTACTTGTACGCACAACAATTCCGAAGAAATGTTATTAAAACGTCTATAGGCTTAGAGGAAAAGAGAGGGACCAAAAAATAGCCTACACCCAAGAACTGCTTTTAAAGTTAATTACTTTAAAGGTGGGAGGTGGAAAATTTAACTTAAAAAGCTTTATTGTAAGTTTATTTATTTTAGAGGTAAAAAAGAAATATACTTTCAAGAGGAATAAATCCACAAGAGAAATCGAGGAAGAAAAGTAAGAAAAAGGTATTTGAACTAGAGATCTCTAGGAACAAATTTAATTTTCATCTAAAATATCTATCTTTGATGCGAAAGAGTTTTCTGATAGACCTTTTGCAATTATTAAGCTTTATAAATTGTTTCATGTTTACATTCAGCTCCATCACGTCTTTTATAGCTTTGTAATACCATAACGATTTATATTTAGTATACTGTTTCCCTTTATGTGTATATAACCAAACGATAGCATAATGTACAAGGTTGTGATCTGAATTTCTTATTATATGGGCTAGGAACTGTATCCGACGTTTTTTTAACGTAATATTTATCGGAGTGTGGCTAGATTTCCTCCAGAGGTTAGAGTTAGAGATGACTTTGGGATAAAAAATACCATTTATGGTTCTCAGACAATTATTTATAAAGGATTGGATACGTCTTAAGTCCGTCTTGTTAACTTCCCATATGTCACTTCCATATAATAAAATGGGGATAATAGCAGAGTTGAAAAGCCTCAACCTCGTAAAAACCGATATTTCCTTCGACTTCCAGATTTTCATGTACATATAGAACGCTCTTTTGGCTTTTTGCGTTCTAATCTTCATTTCCTCTTTACATTCCCCCTTGTTATTGAGCATCACACCCAGGTATTTGATATTATCTACTTTTTTGATAACGTTCCCGCCTACCAAAAGATTTTGGAGCGGTGGTGTATTTGGCGAGGAAAGAATAACCGTTTTATTAAAATTAATTTTTAAACCAACTCTGAGGCTTATGGTTTCGATAGGGTAGATCAGACATACAGTCTCTTCAATATTTTTTGATATTATAACAATATCGTCGGCATACGAAACGATCTTATTAACAAAGTGAAAATTTTCATTAGACCCAAAGTCAGCCAAGTCTGCAGCAGCATTTACCTCCTTTATGACTTTATTTATTATGATGTTAAAGAGAAGTGGTGATAAAGTACAACCTTGTTTTACTCCCTTTTTTATCTTGAAGAAGGGTGATATTTTATCGTTTGTTTTAAAACATGAAGTTAATTTGGAATAATGATTCCTTAAGATGGAGATAATATTTTGTTCGATACCACACTCTGATAGTGCTACCCATAAGGCGTTATGGTCTACATTATCAAAGGCCCTACTAAAGTCAATAAAAGTGTAATAAGACGGAATCCTATATTTCCAGCACTTTTGCATAATTATTTTCAGCGATAAAATAGGTTCCAAAATGTTTTTATTTGGCCTATATGCACAGATATATTTAGAAAGAAGAAGGGGTGAAGTTAAGATCCTATTCTTGATGAGTGTCATAAAGACTTTCGATACGCAGGAGGTCAGAGCTACTGCCCGATAGTCCGCGAATTTCTTAGGTTCCTTAATTTTCGGGAAATTGCACAGGAGAGATTTATTCCATTCTGTCGGAGTATTCCCACTTTCCCAAATTTTGTTAAAGAGAGCAAGAGAAAAGAAGAGATTAGGTTCGGGGATATTTTTAAATATTCAGCAGTAATGTTATCCAAACCCGGAGCTCTATTGTTCCGTAGTTTCTTTACGATATTCGAGATTTCATTTGAAGAGAAACCAGCCGGGGATATAATAGTGTGAGAATTCACAGTAGTTAAAGGAGTAGCCTTGCGGGAGTCAAAAATCGACATATAATGATCCAGCCACAGTGCCATTTGCTCATCTTGGTCCGTTATGGTTTTCCCATTTGCTAAGACAATCATAGGAAGTTTCACAAAGCAACTGGATTTGCAGAAGTACTTTAATTTCCTATATGCATCGTAGATCCTGTTCTCTTTCATATCTTGTTAATGATACTCACTACCAAGTGAATGTATGGAAATATTTTAAATACCAATCTAATTTGCTAAATACCGACCAAAATTTATTAAAATGTAATAAGACCCTTATTATTTAATATATTAATACGGAATCACGTGGTCGAGTCCGGCCTTCTATATATCATCCCCCAAGGATGGAACCACCAAGTTAGAATAAGAAAAAAAACATGATCATTCCCAGGATTCGAACCCGGGAGCATAGGATAAGTAAACCAAGCTCTTGCCTACTAGGTCATAGAGGCTTTCCAAAAATCACGATTTTTCAAATATATATTATAAATATATTTGCTAGTGCCTATCCAAATGAAAAATGAACAAAATTCAAATTTGATAGATGGTACCTTAAGGTACCAAGCATCATTAACCTAATATATTACAGTTAATATTTTAATAAATTTTACTAATAAATGCTTTGATAGTAAATATAATTAATAAATTGTTTTCAAATATCTAACGCCATCTCTTTATTTATAAATTATTTTAAAAATTTAACATCTTATTATTTATCCCATAATGGGTGTAATAAATTAGATAACTTTTCTTCTCTTTTTTACGTGTTTTTAGGAAAGCTAATTTTTTCTTATTTGAAAAACTGTTTTGAGTTAAATTTTTAATATTAGTATATTTTTGATATTATTACAAACTGCTACTATTTTAAGATATAATATACCAACAGAGGTGGTACAATAATATATAAACTCTTAATTAATTTCTTTTATCATATAATATATCACTCTGGTTCTTATTTTATAGTTACAAAATGTTTCATTTCTATTATGGCATCCCTGCCTTGTAAATAACTTAAGGCTTCAATACATTTGCATAATTTCTTCTAAAGATTTTTACTGTTTTTGTTTTATCCATTTATCTAGCATAATAAATTCTGATATAAGTTAATATTGTGAGTGTCATGGCTACGACTGCAAATTAACAAGCATCTATTATTTGTGCTGGCTATGTAATTTAAGATTATTGTTACAGCTGCTGAGAGCATATTATTGCATATTTTGAAAGCAATAATGGTTAACGTGTAGTCGTTTATATATCATTAAAAATGGAAGATAATCTTTTAGAAATTTAATATTTCACATTTCTCAATTACTTATCTAGCTTCTATCATGTCATTTAAGAGGAAGTTCTAACCACGATATAGTTTTATAATTTGGATTGGTCGTTTATATTCTCTTCTCCGAGAATTATTGATTTGGTTAGCTATTAATTTTTCCTTATTAGTCTATTCTATAAAACATTGTCTAAAAATGATAATAGAGTGTTATATTAGTTTCTTAACTTTTGTCAATGTAAGTTGCTAATTTATGTAGTTTTTAAAAACCATTATCAATTGGGGCATATGTGTAAATTAATTAACCTTTTTTATCACTTGTAATTCTTGAGACGCTAATTTTTTTTATATAAGCAATCTAAAATATTTTATACTGTAATGAATCGATTTTATATTAAAAAATAATATTTTTAGAAATGTCTTATATTGTTTTAATTATTTATATGCTAGTTTATTTTGTATACATCTATTATAATAATCCTCAAAAAAGGTCAATCAAATTTAGCCAATAGTTTTCTTTTAAAACATATTTGTCCAATAAAAATGATTATAGCATAATCGGTCCAAAAGTAATCACCTTACCAAGCTCAGCATTCATACACTTACCATTTCATTCACTTCACATATCAAAGCAATGATATCCAGCAACCAAGTATAATTTTTTTAGGTTTTTTATAATTATATTATTTTTATTAGATTCTTCAACAAAACCCAACTACCAATATAAGAAAAAACAAACAAAGTTAAAAAGCAGAATAAGCGAAATGCTTTGTTACCATCATTCCAGAGGTAGAGAACATTGGGAGAAGGTATTATAAATTTAGATATATTAATATATTTTTAGATTGCACAAAAATATTTTGACCTGGCTCGATGGTAAGCACTTTATATCAAAGTAAATTTTTAATATTAATAAATAATTTTTAATTATTTTAGAGTTAGAAAAACCAATATCAAACACCTTAAAAAAACTATGAAACCTTATCTTATGAAAAATACCAGTCCAGAAGCAAAACATTATAAGTTAAGATTCCTAGGTATATGAGAATTTATTGTTATTCTTATCTATATAAAATAATATATATATAAATAACATAGTAAATTATTATGTCACAAAAAAATAGGGTATAAATTTACTTATAAAAATCTAAAGTCTGATAAAATGAAAAATATATAACTGAGCCATGAAAATTTTTGTATCCAGGGTCTTAATTTATTAGATATACATCATAGCAATTAAGATTGATTGTTAAGGGAGAAGTTTAAAGAGTATTTATGAAGGTCTTAAAAGCATTTAAATAATTTTTTATGATAAGTGTAGGTTTTATATGAAATTCATGTGTATATTTAATAGTTCCTTTCTAAAATAATCATTTTTATTATTATTCCAAATGGAGATACCAAATTTTATTTTTATAATTTTAAGAAATATTATTCTATTCTCCAAGTAACTTTTCTTTAAATCCAAAAAATTTATTGAATAATAATTAACTAAAATTTTATTTTAAGCTGCATCCAAAATGTTTTAAAAAAATCCTTAAAATTTTTACATTAATAACAACATTTTGGACACATTTAAGTTTTAAAAAAATTAAAATATTCAAAATGTTTGATATGATAGAATTATTAGTTATTTATTAAAAGATATGTAAATATTAAATTCTATTTATTATTATATATTACCTTTTATTAAACTTTATATGAACTTATTATTTGATAATGGTTATATTTAAATTTTATTTATATACTTAATAAATAAATATATGTTGTAAATAATTATATCAATATTTAATAAACAGTTGGAAAACTAATAATAACTTTTATTTTGAAAGATAATTTTTCCATAAAATATATATAAATTATTATATTTGAGTTATAATAAAATTATAATAGAAATTATATAATATCTTTTAAGAGTGGGAATAGGAATATTTTTATTAATAACTATAGGGTTTTCATTTTCTTTGTTGGCATTATCTTGATCTAGCTATTATTCAATAATAAATAACAAATAATAGTAACATAATATACAGAATCATTAGACATAGGGATAGCAATTTCATTAAGGTATGATTCAGTTAATTTTATATGCATATATAAAATAATACTGTTCCGAGATGTCAATTTTTAGATTAGTAAAATAAAAAACTATTTTATATTTTTGTCTTTTAATATTTTACATTTGTTGTCAATTTTAAAATTGACTCAGAATATTTGGTAATATCATCAATATTTTCTTTCAACCATATATATTGTATGACATATAGTAGAGCCTTATTTTCCAGCACCTTTTAATGTTACGATCTGAGTTATTGTAATATATTTATTGTATGGTTTAAGAAAAAATTGACAGATATTCCAAGAGAAATTGCAGAGATTATTAGTAGTGTAATATTTTGAAGAATAAAATAAAGAATTAAATAATTTTGTAAAAATTGTCCACTTACTAATACTTCAATTACCATTAAATAATTCAAACTATTATAACATAGTGTTGTATATTTTCCCATAACTTCATAATTGTAGAATGTATGTTATTCATAACTTATTATAACATTTTTGATGAAATGTATAACATTTTTGTTTAACTTATATATAATTTGACTATGATTGTAGTTAGCCTCCTGTTATTTGATAACTTAAAATATCTTTTTATTTTTTCTATTGTAATTTAATATCAATTTCTTAAATTTAATTTTATAATTTGTAACTAAATAATAAATCATTTGGAAAGGTGGCGGTTTGTTTAAAATTTAAATTAGGATGAACATATTTTCAGCATGGTACTTTAATGTGTATTCATGAATTTCATATAATGATAGGTAAATCAGATATTTCCCCTTCATTTATTAATATATACATATATTAGACAGATTTAATTCTTATAAACCTCTTATATTTTTTCAGGATCCAAGGAAAAAAATAATTATTCTGAGTTTTCCTGGGCTTGGGAAATATTTTTCACTGGACGTAGCTTGCTAAACATTTTTCAAAAATTTTAAATATGTGCTAGAAATTGGCCTGGAAATTTCTTTTGAAGACATGGCCAGGCCTGATCAAAAACCAAGGCCCATGCAACTTTCATATTCTGATTGTATTTTTAAATGCATTGTGACTTTTTATATATTTTATTTCAGTTCTCAACTACCAAAATTATTATGGTCTTTGGCAGGTTTAAGAAAATTTTCCCAAGTGCGTGGACCTGGCTTGGGAATTTTTTTAATATTAGGCATAGGTGTAATATTTAACACAGAATATTTATATGGCCCTCAGGTAAAAGCTAATTAAATATTATTTTATTCAAAAAATAGTATTCACTCTTAGTCTAAATGGGTTGGCCTGGTGAGCTGGGTTAAGATAGAATAAAGAATTGATATGGTTTTTAGAGATTTACCTATCTCCAGGTTTGGGAAAAAATTTTGAAAATTACTATTAGTTGGACAGGCTTGAGAAAATTTTTTATAAAATTATTATGAGTTGGACTGGGCTTGGGAAATATTTTTTATAAATTATATTAGGCTGGGCTTGGGGAAAATTATGAGCTTGGACGTTTGATAATTTTTTTATTATTAACTATGGGTCAGACATTGGCCTAAAACAAATTATTTTGCAGGCCTGGGCTCGGCCTGATCAAAAAACCAAGGCCCTTGAAATAATTTTTATTGTATTTTTTAATACATTATGATTATTTAAATGTTTTATTTCAGTTCTCAACTACCAAAATTATTATGATCTTTCATTCAGCTTAGATGAATTTTTTAAAATTATTATGACTTTGTACTTTACCTGGGAATTTTTTTTTAATATTAAATATTAAATTTAACATATTGGTATTGTCAAGTAAAAGCTTTAAATTTATTCTTACTCAAACCATAGTATTTAGTCTTAGTTTTAATAGATTGAACCTGGCCTGAAGAGGGGAGGGGGTAAAAAGAATTAAATTGGATATAATTTTCAAATAACAGGTAACATCTAGCATAAATATAAGAAGAAAAGTCTCATTCCCCGTCATTTTTGACGGGCTATCTACTAGTAATATAATAAATGACAAAATATAAATTCAGAAAAATTATTCAGAGTTAGCAAATTTTTAAAAAGTATAATATATTAATATAAAACCCGGTAGAAGGCCCGCAAAAAATTTTTTTTAGTTGAGCCCCCTGTGATTGTAAAGGCTGGCGACGCCCCTGAAATAAATTAATAAAATTTAAAAAAATATAACCTTTTCTCGTAAGTTACAGGATGAGATTGTTATCATCTGGGGATTTTCGAAAATAAATCTTTAACTGAACGATATCCCCTTACCAAACTGATAAAATATTAACACCAATTAGAAGAGGAGCACATTTTACAACTCTCGACTTATTCACTACTATCAAATCGAATTAAAGGAAGACTCAAAGAGATACGTACGTGATAATCAACAAGATAAATGATTATATCGAAATAATCTGTTATTTTGAATTGCCTCAGTCTTAAAGGTTCATAGCTTTTGAAGGTTAATAAACTATCACAGGGCGTTACTCTAGTCCTGCCTTCTATCTGTGGAGTGTAGCCCAGGAATCACAAATAGCGCAGAATCAGAAATAGCCATGAATCACGGATAGTGGTATGTAACAAATGGTCATGGATCACAAAGCATGAGATATCAGTTTTATAAAAATGAAAAATATAATATAAGTATGGGACTTAGATAAATTAAAAAAATATATGAATGTATCATTATAATATAATTTGTGTATTTCCAATAGCTAAATTTAATGAGCAGGAACAATGATAAATATAAACTATACGAATATTTGATAAAAATTGTAAATCATGTCTATTTTTTTAATGAATTTTACAAAATAATTAAAATGATTAAAATAGAACAATATTCAGGGCGATCTATTAGAAAAACTTCAAAAAAGTAAGATCCTTAAAATTGTATATTAATTAAATCATAATTAAATAATAAAAATACCTAACGATATATAGTTTTTTTAGTAAATGTATAGAATAATCACCATGAAAGGGAATATTGTTCGGGTAGACGAATTGGTAAACATCAAAAAAAGGTAGGATACTTGTGAATAGATATAGAATCTTATTTATCGTACTACGTATCGTTTTTTTGGAATAGATTTATAATCTTATATAATTTTATTTAAATAATAAAAATAGTGTAATATGTAAAAAAAAGTTATTCATAATAATCAGCAAGGATAAAAGATTAAAATGTTCAGATAGGCAAAATGGCAAACTTTTAAAAATGTAGGATCATTAAAAATAAACATTGCTAGAGGTGACATATTGACGATTAAAAAAGTAAGATCATTAAAATTAAATATTAAATAATATATAAATAATAAAAATCGATTTAAATAATATTAATAGCGAACTACGTATAGTTAGTTCGTTATGTACATCGATAATGGCAGAATCATAAAGAGCTCCACCCTAAGAAAATAATGGCATTAGATATTGGCAAAAAATCTAAAAAAGATATAACTTAAAATATTTAGACAAGGGATTAAAAAAATGAATTCATAAATATATAAATCTTCCAGTATATTATTTTTTATAACAATTTTGTTTTTATATAATAATAATCAGAATCACTAACATTCAGGGGCGTAAATAGACTTTATATCTCAGGGGGCTAAAAAAATTTAAAATATTTTAAAAATTACCTTTTTTTAGATAACATTATCCAAAATTACCTTCCTTTTTTTAGTGGTATAAACAAATACTCAAAATTTTGAAAGGGTTCAGCAAATTTTTTGTGACGCTACTGCTAACCTTTTGTTGAACATGAAATTTTCTTTACTAGTATGTATGAACGGTTAAGACGTTTGTTAACTTGCCATTTTTCTCTTCACTTATCTTTAATAATAGGTTTATTATTTGATCAATATGAATGCCTAGAACATTAAAGAATTATAACCTTAATTATAATAATAATCTAAACTTACAAAAGAGTTAATGTCAGACGCGTAGCTTCTTATTAAATAAAAGCCTATTATTAAATATTAGCATATAATCTAAAAAGATGTGTAAAGTAAAGCATAAATAAAAAACGTTTTATCCATTGAAACATGCATAGTTAATTTTTTAGTTTACATGTATATGTAGATGCTATGCATATAATAATAATGAATGAATAACTCTATTTTGTCGAGATGTTCTTATTTATTATATCATTTAACTCATGGAAACATTTGCTTTAGATATCTGCAAAGCAAGATCTAAAGATATAACCAAAAATATCGGGAATTATTGTGAAAGCGAATTAAAATATGAATAAAACATAATATTCTGATGGATTTAAATATAGATGATTTTGCAAATA